GCTGATGGGATGCCGCAAGAGGGGGCCCAAGCCCAAGCCGCTGGTTGTGCAGGTGAATTCGGGCACTGATTGATTGACTTTTCTCGGGGGGCAGGAGGAGATGGGGGGCCCAGCCGGGCTGTAAAACCGAGGAAGGCATCAAGAAATGGCCCTGCCTCTAAATGGCCCCTTAGCAAATAGGCGGATTTAAAAGCGCTTTGTTTTGCTTTTTAATAAACTCCCGAGGTTGGTCCTGGCCCCCCGGGGAGGAGAGTTTCAGCTGGTTTCATCATGCTACAGGAGCAGCGACCTACGGGTCCCCTGGCGATGTTAAATGCCAGCCTCAGCCCCTCCCTCCCACGCGGCCTCGCCACCCCGGGCCCGGGCCCGGGCCCGCACCCGCACCCGCAGCCTCCGGGGGAGCTGGGGAAGGCTGAGGAGGAGCCCGAGGTCACAGGGAAACCCAGCCCCGCGGCTGCACGGGGATCTCCTTCCTGGCAGGCCTCGCCGCGGCCGCTCCAGCACGCATCTGCGCGGCCCTCCGCGCTGCGCCTGCCTGAGCGTGGCAGTGACGCATGGAGCCCAGGCCAGGCCTCGTTGCGGGGACGGCTCCGCGCGAAGCGGAGCCGATGGCGTTTGCTTCTGGGCGTCGCCTCTCCCCTGCCACCCCTGCTTCTGTCCCTCCCGCGTTTCCCCCGGAGTCGGGTTGATTGAAGGGTCCTTTTTATTGCCTCTAATTAATCCCGGGCAATATACAGCCTGTGGGCTAGGAGCAGGCCCCTGGCTGTGTGTTAAGGCGCATCGCGTCCCTTAATGATGGCCATTAGGAAGGCACGTGTTTTACAATGTGTGCTTAAGCTTATTGAATGGACGCCCGCAGAAGCGCCGGCCCCTTGCCTTTGTCTGCCCTCCCTTGATGGGCCCTGGCCAAACTCAACCGCTGACTCTCGTTGCAGCTCCCCTCCTTCGCCCGGCGCTCCAACATCCTCTCGGGGCTGCAGGACCCTGCCGCGGACAACCGGCCCAAGCTGGACCTGAGCGCCTCCGGCAAGGGCCAGCAGCACCAGTACGAGCTCAACAGCAAGAAGCACCACCAGTACCAGCCCAACGGCAAGGAGAGCAGTGTGAAGCACCAGTCCCACAGCAAGGGGAAGTATTACTACCAGCTGAACAGCAAGAAGCACCACCACTACCAGCCCGACCCCAAGATGTACGAGCCCCACTTCCAGCCCGGCAGCAAGGAGCCGCCGAGCCAGGGCTGCTTGGACCACAGCAAAAGCCCCTTGGTTGCTCACCCGGATAAATGGGGCCACAGCCCCGCCAAGAGCCTGCTGAGCCCGGTCAAGAGCCTGTCCGCGGAGGGCAAGAACGGGGCCGAGAAGAACCTGTCCAGCGGCACCGGGCCGCCTCCCCGGGACAGGGTGGCCAGCAACGGCATCGGGGGCAAGATGAAGATCGTCAAGAACAAGAACAAGAACGGGCGCATCGTCATCGTCATGAGCAAGTACATGGAGAACGGCATGCAGGCGGTCAAGATCAAGTCCGGGGAGCCACCCAGGAAGCGGGCCTCGGAGGAGAGGACTTCCAAGAAGGGCGGGGAGGAGAAGCAGGAGGCCTGGAGGAAGCCCGGGGAGGAGCGGGTGGCAGGCGCGGACCCCCCCAGCAGGGCCGAGGGCGAGTGGGGCCCGCCGCCCGCGCAGCACGAGGAGACCCCCCTCGCCAAGGAGCCCCCGCCCTGCGAGCAGCCCCTGCAGCTCACCACCAAGCCCGACCTCGTGCCCTGGTCCCTGGATCCCAGCCGGGAGCACAGCCCTTCCACCATGGGACTGAACCTCTCCGGCTCGGGCTCCAGGAAGCGCTGCCTCTCCGAGCCCCACGGGGACAGGGAGCCGGGCAAGAAGCGCCTCACCTCCCGGAGCATCAGTGCCCCCACCTGCCTGAGCCCCCCGGCTCCCGAGCGGCCCGAGCCCCCTCCCTCGGCCACCGCCCAGCCCGAGGTCATCCTGCTGGATTCGGACCTAGACGAGCCCATAGACTTGCGCTGCGTCAAGCCGCGGGGCGAGGGCGAGCTGGCCGTGGCGCAGGTGAAGCCGGAGGAGCCTCCGGTGTTGGAGGAGAAGCCGGGCGCCGAGGCCCCGCCGCAGCAGCGGGAAGAGGAGGAGGCCGAGCCCCTGCAGGAGTTCAAGCCCTTCTTTGGGAATATAATTATCACGGACGTGACCGCAAACTGCCTGACCGTGACCTTCAAGGAGTATGTGACGGTGTGAGGGGGGCCGGCCGCTCCCCGCAGGGAGGTACGCTGACGTTCCCGGGGCCGCCCGCTCCGCCATCCCCCTCCACGGTATTGCCACTGGCCTGGAGCCCACCGCCCTGCCCTCCCCGCGCGGCGACCGCGGCGCTCCCGCCGGGCCCTCCCTGCCCGGGCGGAGGGGAGGGCAGGGCACAGTGACTGCCCCTGCTATGCTGGGGGCATCCTCTCCTGCTGCTCCGGCCCGGCGGTCCCGCGGCCGCGCGTGGATGAGGCCCGCCAGTTACTCAGAGTTGCATAGTATTATATTTTAACAGTGCTAACTTGTTGAGTGGTTCTTGCTCCCGTTTGTACGTGGTGTTCTTGAAATGTATTGTTCGAGCTGAAAGCTGGTCGCCCGGCCATGCTAATATATTTATTTGTAGGTATTTATATAATGAAATATAAAGCCTAGATTTATGGAGTCTCTAGATCACCTTATAAACTATATCAAACAAATATTTTCTGTTCTCCTTTTTAACCAGTCAGCATTTTAGTCTCATTCCTTTCCGCCCCCTTCATGAACTGCAGGACCATTCCCTGGTATATATTTTTTGATACTGTACACACGTGTTGTTTCTATGTGCAAAGTTCGTTATCTAAAGCTAAACAAGCTATTATAGAAACTGCTGCTACTAGAAATGTCTAAACCTATAAGCTTCCAATTATTAATTGCTTGAATGTAAATATTAAATGGAGATGTTGAAAGTGCATTTGATGTTCTGCAGCTAGCTTAGAGTGGATTGCAAAGACCAGCTGTTAGAAAGAAGGTGGAGCCTGAGCTGCCAGTCGCACTTCCTGCTCTAAGGGCTGTATCATGGAGGACGAAAATGTATCATGCAATCATTGCAAAGGACTATAAACCTTTACAAAAATGACTGGAAGTTGCAGTGCATTTGTTACCCGCTTGCAAACGGCACGGGACAGGCTCGTGGATGCCGGCGTAACAAAAGGGTTGCGTCCCCCAGGGCGAGCGCCCTCCTTTCTAAAGACGTGAACAGAGACGGTTCTCCGAGGCGGGAGCGGTGCTGGCCGGGGGCGTGGGGGGAAGGCGAGCCGCACGATAAGCTCCTACTATGCCGTTGCGATGTGCTGAGAGCAGGGCGCAGATAAGAGGCAGGCGTGTTCCCTCCGTGCTGATCTCACGTGTTTCATTTAACCCCTCGGCTCAGAGGCCCACCTTCCCCTCCGGGCAGTTAGACAAAGACCCCGCGCGGTCCGTGGCGAATAACGACGGATATTTTGCATGGCCGAGCCGCGGAGAGGCCTGTCCCGGGGGAAGGTGGGCACGGGGCACCTTCCGAGAACAACTCGCGGTTTCCGGTCCGGTTAGGATGCTTTAGTGCTGGATGTTCTTGGACGTCGAGCCGTTGCGGTGGCCGAGCCCTGAGAGCGGCCCATGGAGAGGGATATGTGATCAGATGCTTTAACCTGGCTCCTGTGCGCAGGATTGTCCTCCCTTTGTGGGTTTAAAAGGATGGTGCTAAGGCTGCAGGACTTTTTGGAGCTCCCTCTACAACCAGGCTGCTCCTGAGCCGTGCACAGAGTGATTCTTTCAAGTCGGGTGATGTTTGGAGACCCACAGGCCTGGCCCACTGTAGCCAGTCTGGTCCACGCGTGGCTGGTAGACCTGTGGCAGCTTCCCGTCGAATGCTTCTGAAAAGACGATCTAGCCACGTTCTTTGTACTCGGGGCGTGTGAAAGCTGCCCCCTTGATAGCCTAGCCATAGCCGTGGGGTCTGGCCGGAGAAGGCCGATTCATTTGAGTGCTCGGGGAAAGCTTTTAGCTGCAAAATTGTCGTGCGAGTTGGATGTACGTGTGCTGGCAGTGGCAGGTTTCATTCACGGTGGGAAGTGCATCTAGCAGTTGCACCCCGCCTCCTGCACGGTCTCTAACCTGCCTTCTTTTGGCAACCTGGAGGGGCTGTCGTGGGGGCTAGACACTGGCTTTCCTGCAGAGGCTAATGGGGGTTGCACGATGGGATGCATCTCCCACGGGCCCGCCACGGCGCCCAGCTGCAAGTAGACGGCAACTGCTGCCTGTCCCCATGAGCCACAGAACTGGAGGTGTTGCCCTAGCAGGGAAGTCGGGAGCCACCCCGTCGTCTCCGGACTTGAACTGCCCGGCAAACTGAATCCGCGGCATTGGCGCGTATTGCTGGAAGGGGCAGACCCTTGCATTAAGCCGCTGTTGGGGGCTTGTCCGTACTGGGAAAACGACTGAAATAGCTGTTTCAGCCCCCGCCCATCGGTGGAAGCTAACTGCAGAGTCAGAATGCCTTTGGAAAGGGGGCTGCCCCCTCCCTCTGAATTAGCCCCAGTTTACGTCAACATCGTTATTTCAGCAATGTAGGCAAGTCCCTGGGCAACAATCGGGACGGGCTCTTGGCCTTGCCCTGGTCTCCCTTCACGTGGGCCAAGCACCCGTCGGTGGTTGCGAGTAGCAGCCTCTACGTGGTGGGATTGGGCTTTTTGCCCCTTCTCCTCCCAAAGCTGCAGTGTAAGACACGGCCCCGCATCTTAAGCCGCCTTTGAGTGCAGTGGATGCGGGGGTCCGTGCAGGGAGCGGCGTCTGACCCGTGCTGCAGACCGCCGGCTGTGGCATTGGTGGAAGGGGGCGGCAGGGCACGAAGCCGTGTGAAGCGCCCCTCCTACGGGCGGTCAGGCCCGAGCCGGGCTGAGCTTGCAGGGCTGCCAGGAGCACGACGGCCTGTTTCCCCTGCGACCGGAGCCCCCGCTCTCCTGCCCAGGCGAGCTCGCGACGGGCGCGTGAGCAGAGCCCCACCTCGGCGGCGGCCGTGGCATTTGCGAGCGGGCAAGTGCGGCCGAGCATGCCAGGGCCTCGCGGCTGCTTCGGGAGAGCTTCGCTTCTGTTTCAAAGCCCGGCGTGTTTCGATACCTCTGGAGTTGGGTGCCAGGACGCCTGAGTCTTCTAGGCCGACCGGCTCCTAGCACATCCTAAAGTGGGCTTTAAACGGCCTGCGGCTTCCCACGTCTGAACCCTGCCCCACGCGGTCGGCGAGCAGCAGCTGGCAGCGTCCTGCTTCCCCTGCGGTCCGAAACGCAGCTCGGCTTGAGTGCGGCTGGTGGCTTTGAGCGTTGGGGCGCACTAAGCCAGTTTCCTTTCCGAAGTTGGGCTGCGTCACGTTTTGGGCTTCCTCGGTGGGTGCCCTGGCGCGTGACTCTGCCCACCCCCGCCTTGTCCTGCTCCATTAGACCGGCAGACACAGAGCTGCCTAAAATGCCATCCTTCAGCAGTAGCTGCGGCTGGTTGAGGCGCCATTTCCCGGAAACCACAGAGCCAGATAATTCTTGCATTAAACACGGTCAAACTAAGCGAGGAGCTCCAGCAGCTTCCTGCGCAGCGAGAGGAGCGAGATGCAGAGGCTGCGCGCTCCACATTGTGCCCGTCGGCCGAGGAAGGCAGCTTGCCTCGTGTCTGAGTGACTCGCTTCTGCTCATCTCTAGCACTGCTAGGGGCATCCAGCTCCGGTGTCAGTCGCTGCCGTGGGTAATTGGGAGAGATGTTTGTTGGCAAATAGGCTTGGCCTCTAACAGGATATATAGGGCCAGACGACCTGCCACTGTTCTCCTTTACAGAGAGTGGTTTCCACTGCGTGCAGATACAGGTCAGGGGAGAGGCTTAAGCATTTTTTGTTTCAGCTGGAATTGCAGGTTTGAAAGGACATTTCGTCTTGATAAATCAGCCCTTGTGAGCAGCCCTACTGTTATGTTCATCTGTGCAACACCAATGATTTGTGCAGCTGACTGCATTTTTACTGTCTGGATGGGAAGG